AGTTCTTGATATTGAAATTGATACTTGTATTTCAAAGTTTTCTCCGACGAAAACAACTTTTATTCGCTTTTTTTGCGTTGAAATATTATATCAGCGATTGTTAGAAATTCTATATGAATCAGAGAACATACGACGAAAATATTCGTACAAATTCATGTACATACACAGCTTTGAATCAAAGCCTTTGATTATATTTAGTAGTAACCGCGTTTGATCGCATAAAAATGAACCGGCCGGATTTTTGCCAGTTTCACGTCAAAAATGAACCGGCCGGATTTCGACCGGACCGGACCGGATGGGAAAAATCCGTCTGGTTCCAACTCTGATCGGAATTATTCAATTTTCAACAGTAGTGCTCACACATGTTCAAATCATTCAGAGTCTGTTGGCTACATTCTGACCGTCTCGTCATTAATAATTCCAAAAACAGATCCCATCGAATCTTTGTAATTAACAAAGCGACGGACGGCTCCGATATCCCATAGTCGAGCGCTCGTAACTCAGCCGGGAACAACTGAAGTTCTTTGTATCGTCCAAGATCCATCATGAAATATCCATTTTCGGCTTGCTGGTAAAATCCTTTGACCATGAACATACCCACTGTTTCGCGACACTCGGAAAAGTTCTGTCTACTAGCGCTTCGAGATCCGTCGATTAGTGTGGATTCCTATAGTTTTTCTGCTGTCTATAATGATCTTTGATGTACTTCAACAAACATTTTCTCTGTAGATTAGAGAGGAGCGGAGTCGGAGGCAGATAAAAAGCGTTTTCGGAATCGGAGTCGCAGTGAGAAGATAAAGGTTAAAAATTTTGGCGCTGACTTTTAATCCTCATTTTAAGATTTTTTTGTAAACAAAAGGAGCAAACAGGTTAGCTGACTTCTTTCGTTTTATTTCCTTGCTTAGTTATTTATCTATTTCAGCTAAAATGTCGTCTTCGCAGTAGTCAATTATATAGTAGCGTATTATATTTCGAAATGCAGACGTTTTAATCTTTCTTATTTAATAGCAAGCCATTTACCAAAAAAAATCAACAATTGAAATACCAAATGCTTTATGATCATGATTACTCTGTGATACGAGCATATAAAAAACCCGTTCAAAAATTCTAAAAAATAAACGCAGCTGAGCATCTACCACCACTATCATCTTCATTAGTATCATCACCAAATTACTTTTTTTCGCAATACTTTCCGTTTTTTTTAATTTTCCACACCACAACAGTCGGAAATTCTAACTTTACACGTTTCGACGGCAACATGTCAACAACTTTATAGTTGTCAACCACAAATTTTGTTCCACTTTTCACTTCTTTTTCCTCTTCTTATAAAAGAACAGAGACTTTTAAAAAAATTTCCATTCATTTTTTCTAAAATGTTTTTAAATAATAAATAATTCTTCTCTACATTTTTGTTCTTCTACTTATTCATCGGAATAATGCTACGCTCACAGAGGAGAAAGAATAAGAGACACTTGGCGGTTTATTTAAAAAATTAGGAAATGAAAATGAAGAAATGACTACTTACAAGGTCTAACTGCTGAAAGAAATGAATTAACTGCAAAAAAGGAAGGGTTAAAGCAGTCGAGAAGTCGATTACATCAACAATTGTCGATCAAAGTGTTGGTGGTGGTAGCGGCGGTGTGGATGGAGAGTAGAATCAGGTTAACCAAACTGGTATTCGTGGACAAGGCGGAGAAGGAAGTTCAATATTATCACCTGCTGCAATTACTGTTGCTATTATTGGTGTTGTCGTTGGAGTTACATTGTTTGTTAAGAAAAAGAAACGACGAAAGGCAGAAATTGTTGGTCGGTGGCATTCAAGTTTAAGCAGTAGCAAATCAGCATCAGCTGCTGGTGCTGATGAAAATGTTTAAATGTACTTTAAAGTATTGATTCAGAAATTTTTTATGAAGACGAAAATGTACATAGTTTTTGTAAATATCGATGTTTAATTAAATGCATTTTTTTTAAAACATTGTTTCACCTTGATTATTAGCTATCATACGCGTTTTCCAAGGAGGAGGGTCTCAGAAAGGTACACTCATTCGAATAGAAAACAGCTTAGACCTACAATATTCGATCCTTGGCTAGTGGACTAGAAAATCGGCTGTAGCTTCTCTTTAGAAGATCGCGTGCATAAGTTTTCCAGACATCGGAGAAAAAATGAACGCATAATTTTGTTTCATTCTATTTTATTTTTTTAAAAAGATAGATGAAAAAAATCACAGACTTTATTGATTGTTACATAAAATTCCATTACAACAACATTTTTTAATTTGTATTAAGCCAGTTGAATGTTCAGTGTTACAACCATTAGGATCTTCACAATCTAAAACTGATTTAACACCACGTTCTAATGGATTTCTAAATGTATCATTACCAACACCAATTTTTGTAGTCTATAATGATAATGAATAAAGAATAAACAAACTTACCTTTTGCTTAAAAAGTTAAAAAAGCTATCTTAATTTAACTTACATAACAGCGTTCTGTTGGTTCAGTTATTTGATATGTCATTGGATAGTACACTGTTGGTTTACATCCACTACTCAATGGTAAATTATCACATTCAGTTCGTGGTGGATCATAGCATTTTGTCCGTCTATCTAATTGTGAATCATTACATGTATAGCATACGCTTGGTTCTGCGATATAATCTATAAGAAGATTCACAGAGTGGAAATTTCACGTACATGTGGCAGAGACACGAAAAAAACATACTATTGCAAAGGTCCTGTTTACAACAACATGTAACACGTTTAACACCATTGATTAACGTTTCAGTTTGACACCTTCGTGTCAGATCACATGAATAATCTTGTTTCAGACCACGTTCTACTGCATGTATTTTACCAGTTTGGACACTAAATATAGCTGATTCCTATAGAAAAACCAAAAGATTTCAAATGAAAAAGCATTTTCTCTGTTTCCAACTTACATAGCAAACGAATGCCAGTGAATAATCCGTTGTTAAGTTTTGAAATTTTGATGTACACTCATCGACACTACCACCATCCGTACTCTGACTACAGAAGTAGCATTTGATACCATTTACATCTAGTTGAAAAGAGAGAATTAGTCTAATGATAATAGTCCGACAACACATCAAATTTCCTCACCTCTATACAATACTGCTGTCCACCAGAAAAAAGTTAGAATTAAAATGTATTTCATCACTAAAGTGTATGACGATAAAAATCCTGAAATATTGTGTAGTGATGCTTCTGTTTCTATAAAGTTTTATTCTAGAATAATATAGGTGTTATGCAGAAACCTAATATGTATGTCTTAACCATCAAAGAAGAAAAGCTTACCTTTTTATGATAAATCTATTTTTTTGTAATTAAACATGGGTTCACATATCGAAAAACACAGCCTTTGAGAATAATTTCAAAATTTTCGTTGATTTTTTTCCACTAAATGTTTCTCTAGCAAATAGAATCCGATTGGCTGCGGATAAAACCTGAAAAAACATCGAACATTCTCTATTTGAAATCTAACATCTAAATTTAAAGTCTATTTTCTAAGATAACAAAGCATGTGGACTGTTGAAGGAGACGTCTAGCTCAATGCCAAAAGAAAATATATCTGTACCCTGGGCATTAGAGTCAGCTTTTAGATGTTCGACTACTGTTTTGAGAGGCAAAGTGACCTTGATTCAAAATAATCTATTCATCTATTTTATAGTTTATTCAACAACATTATTTCGCTCTGATGGGTACATTTTGAGTTCGACTGCAAGAAGTTGATAGAAAGAGATGTGTGGACAAAGTGTCTAAAGACGAATTGACGAATCGCAACTTTTAAGCGTAAAAATGATGCAACAGTTCGCGTTTTACCCTTATTTTGTGAATTCGTATCGAATTGATGCGAACTGTATCGAATTCGTACGGATACTCTTAAAAACTTTTACGAATTCATCTTGCGAATTCGTAAACAGAGAATAGATCAAACACGATGCTGATCAATTCGCAAATAGTTCGTAAAATTAGTTTACGATTTCGTGTTCACTGTTTTTGAAACTAGATTGATTCGTAAATACGAATTAGCGAATTCATATTACGAACTGATCCGGTTGAATTGACAAACCCATTCTGCAAATTCATTGCGAATCGATGTGTACGCTTACTAGGCTACGTAGGGACAGGACACTTTTCTCTGACGTTAAAAATAGGTAGATTCGTCTCTTCTCATCGATTCGCCTACTTTTCATACCAATTCGCCGTTATTCTTACGAATTCGTAAAATACGGCATGTTGTGTAAATACTCACAGCCATCCTCACTGCCGCCCCCCGCCCCCGCTCGGCACATGCACACAAAAGGGAAAGAGATTCCCCTCTGTTTTGTTTCGCACAGATACATGTATTAATATAGTCTATTGTCACATTTTTTGATTAATTCATTCAACTGATCAATTCGTATTCT